TCAGGGTCTTAACAAGGCGTGGATTTTTTAAAGAAGACTTTTCAGGGTCTTAACAAGGCGTGGATTTTTTAAAGAAGACTTTTCAGGGTCTTAACAAGGCGTGGATTTTTTAAAGAAGACTTTTCAGGGTCTTAACAAGGCGTGGATTTTTTAAAGAAGACTTTTCAGGGTCTTAACAAGGCGTGGATTTTTTAAAGAAGACTTTTCAGGGTCTTAACAAGGCGTGGATTTTTTAAAGAAGACTTTTCAGGGTCTTAACAAGGCGTGGATTTTTTAAAGAAGACTTTTCAGGGTCTTAACAAGGCGTGGATTTTTTAAAGAAGACTTTTCAGGGTCTTAACAAGGCGTGGATTTTTTAAAGAAGACTTTTCAGGGTCTTAACAAGGCGTGGATTTTTTAAAGAAGACTTTTCAGGGTCTTAACAAGGCGTGGATTTTTTAAAGAAGACTTTTCAGGGTCTTAACAAGGCGTGGATTTTTTAAAGAAGACTTTTCAGGGTCTTAACAAGGCGTGGATTTTTTAAAGAAGACTTTTCAGGGTCTTAACAAGGCGTGGATTTTTTAAAGAAGACTTTTCAGGGTCTTAACAAGGCGTGGATTTTTTAAAGAAGACTTTTCAGGGTCTTAACAAGGCGTGGATTTTTTAAAGAAGACTTTTCAGGGTCTTAACAAGGCGTGGATTTTTTAAAGAAGACTTTTCAGGGTCTTAACAAGGCGTGGATTTTTTAAAGAAGACTTTTCAGGGTCTTAACAAGGCGTGGATTTTTTAAAGAAGACTTTTCAGGGTCTTAACAAGGCGTGGATTTTTTAAAGAAGACTTTTCAGGGTCTTAACAAGGCGTGGATTTTTTAAAGAAGACTTTTCAGGGTCTTAACAAGGCGTGGATTTTTTAAAGAAGACTTTTCAGGGTCTTAACAAGGCGTGGATTTTTTAAAGAAGACTTTTCAGGGTCTTAACAAGGCGTGGATTTTTTAAAGAAGACTTTTCAGGGTCTTAACAAGGCGTGGATTTTTTAAAGAAGACTTTTCAGGGTCTTAACAAGGCGTGGATTTTTTAAAGAAGACTTTTCAGGGTCTTAACAAGGCGTGGATTTTTTAAAGAAGACTTTTCAGGGTCTTAACAAGGCGTGGATTTTTTAAAGAAGACTTTTCAGGGTCTTAACAAGGCGTGGATTTTTTAAAGAAGACTTTTCAGGGTCTTAACAAGGCGTGGATTTTTTAAAGAAGACTTTTCAGGGTCTTAACAAGGCGTGGATTTTTTAAAGAAGACTTTTCAGGGTCTTAACAAGGCGTGGATTTTTTAAAGAAGACTTTTCAGGGTCTTAACAAGGCGTGGATTTTTTAAAGAAGACTTTTCAGGGTCTTAACAAGGCGTGGATTTTTTAAAGAAGACTTTTCAGGGTCTTAACAAGGCGTGGATTTTTTAAAGAAGACTTTTCAGGGTCTTAACAAGGCGTGGATTTTTTAAAGAAGACTTTTCAGGGTCTTAACAAGGCGTGGATTTTTTAAAGAAGACTTTTCAGGGTCTTAACAAGGCGTGGATTTTTTAAAGAAGACTTTTCAGGGTCTTAACAAGGCGTGGATTTTTTAAAGAAGACTTTTCAGGGTCTTAACAAGGCGTGGATTTTTTAAAGAAGACTTTTCAGGGTCTTAACAAGGCGTGGATTTTTTAAAGAAGACTTTTCAGGGTCTTAACAAGGCGTGGATTTTTTAAAGAAGACTTTTCAGGGTCTTAACAAGGCGTGGATTTTTTAAAGAAGACTTTTCAGGGTCTTAACAAGGCGTGGATTTTTTAAAGAAGACTTTTCAGGGTCTTAACAAGGCGTGGATTTTTTAAAGAAGACTTTTCAGGGTCTTAACAAGGCGTGGATTTTTTAAAGAAGACTTTTCAGGGTCTTAACAAGGCGTGGATTTTTTAAAGAAGACTTTTCAGGGTCTTAACAAGGCGTGGATTTTTTAAAGAAGACTTTTCAGGGTCTTAACAAGGCGTGGATTTTTTAAAGAAGACTTTTCAGGGTCTTAACAAGGCGTGGATTTTTTAAAGAAGACTTTTCAGGGTCTTAACAAGGCGTGGATTTTTTAAAGAAGACTTTTCAGGGTCTTAACAAGGCGTGGATTTTTTAAAGAAGACTTTTCAGGGTCTTAACAAGGCGTGGATTTTTTAAAGAAGACTTTTCAGGGTCTTAACAAGGCGTGGATTTTTTAAAGAAGACTTTTCAGGGTCTTAACAAGGCGTGGATTTTTTAAAGAAGACTTTTCAGGGTCTTAACAAGGCGTGGATTTTTTAAAGAAGACATTTCAGGGTCTTAACAAGGCGTGGATTTTTTAAAGAAGACATTTCAGGGTCTTAACAAGGCGTGGATTTTTTAAAGAAGACATTTCAGGGTCTTAACAAGGCGTGGATTTTTTAAAGAAGACTTTTCAGGGTCTTAACAAGGCGTGGATTTTTTAAAGAAGACTTTTCAGGGTCTTAACAAGGCGTGGATTTTTTAAAGAAGACTTTTCAGGGTCTTAACAAGGCGTGGATTTTTTAAAGAAGACTTTTCAGGGTTTAACAAGGCGTGGATTTTTTAAAGAAGACTTTTCAGGATCTTAACAAGGCGTGGATTTTTTAAAGAAGACTTTTCAGGATCTTAACAAGGCGTGGATTTTTTAAAGAAGACTTTTCAGGATCTTAACAAGGCGTGGATTTTTTAAAGAAGACTTTTCAGGATCTTAACAAGGCGTGGATTTTTTAAAGAAGACTTTTCAGGATCTTAACAAGGCGTGGATTTTTTAAAGAAGACTTTTCAGGATCTTAACAAGGCGTGGATTTTTTAAAGAAGACTTTTCAGGATCTTAACAAGGCGTGGATTTTTTAAAGAAGACTTTTCAGGATCTTAACAAGGCGTGGATTTTTTAAAGAAGACTTTTCAGGATCTTAACAAGGCGTGGATTTTTTAAGGAATATTACAAAATTTAATATTACCTTTTTTCTTCCTCTCAGTGGCGTGCCCATGATGGCCTGGTTTTATCCCTTAGCTGGTCATCCCAGTCGAACATCATTGCTTCTGGTGGAGAGGATTATCGTTTTAAAATTTGGGATTCCCAAGGTGCGAATTTATTTACCAGTACTACCGAAGAATATGCCATAACCGCGGTGGCCTTTAATCCCGAAAAGGATATTCTGCTGATCAGCACTTTCAATATGCTGAAGCTGTGCTCCACAGCTGGAGTAAGCAATCCAAAAATTGTCCATGAATCCCAACTTATGAAAATATTCTTTCTTCCAGTGGTCCTATAGCACTGCACGTTTTAATGAACCTGTGGTTGGATCATTCCACACCCTGTCTTGGTCATCCGATGGTACTCAGGTAGCATGTGGTACCTCGACAGGACAACTTATTGTGGGCTACATTGTTCAAAAGCAAATGATATCACGCAACTTGAAGGCCACAACAACGGGGCGGAAGTCGCTACGTTTGGAAGATATCTCGAATGGCAGCAGTGATATGTTGGAATTTACTGAACGTGTTATAAATTTCGCCCTGGGTTATGGGCATCTGATTGTGGCCACCTCCAATCAAATTCACATTTATAATGAGAAATATATAAATACACCGATTATTATTGATGGCCGCACCGATGTGAGGGTTATACAAGTGGGGAAGAAGTAAGGATGTAATTCCTGTTTTAAAAACTTTTAATAATATTTTTTTTAGATTTTTCATGGTCTTGGACTCAACCTCTATATGGGTTTATACCTACACCGGTCGTTTACATTTGAATCCACGCTATCCGGGCAGCCAGGCTCAAATACCATTGCTAAATGGCCGCAGTATTTCGTTGGGAATGGATACTTTGGTGGTTAGAGATAATTCGGATACAATGGGTAAGTTAATGAACTCACCTTTTTGGTCCTTGAAAAAAATTGTATTACCATTATAATTTTGTGTACATGTTTCTTATTCTAGTCCTTCACATTTTCGATTTAATACCGGGAGCGACACGACAATATGAACCCTTTATGCTGAAGGCTAAGACCCAAATAGCCGAAATTGCTGCATGTCGTGCTGGAACTGTCGACGATCAGTTTGTGGTGATGATAGACAACAATCGGGAATTGTATATAACTGAGACCAGAAATTTGAATAGTAGTAACGAAAGAAATGCCATTGCTGGTAGTATTAGTGGATCGAGCTGTGGAGAAATATATAAAATTGGCACGCAAGTGACAACAGTGCAATGGGCAAGTGAGTCAAATATTTTGGTCGGAGTTCACGACACATGCTATAGTATTTGGTATTGTCCCGGGGAGGGAGCCCCAGATCCAACAATTATTGCCCTGACCACGGTGACCATTGATGCAACGTAAGTTTTGCTACCCTTCTTCTATTTTTTGATATCTGTAATACTTTGTTGTTGGTTCTCTTTTAGGGAATTTGGTAAAAACATTGCCATTGAGTCCTTTGAAGATTCCATTGTGACATTCCGCTGTTCAGGGGCTCTGCTGCCCATCACGGTGAATATGTATTGTGAGATATTGCATCGCACCCTGGCCGAGGGCCAATGGCAGCAATCGCTGAAAATATGTCGCCTCGCCCACAATGCCTATCTGTGGGCCACCTTGGCCGCAGTGGCTACCCGGAAAAATCAACTACAAATTAGCGAAGAAGCCTATTCGGCTGCTCTACAAATCGACAAGGTTAGCTATTTGCAGCACATCAAAACATTGGATCCCTCAAGTCCGGAATATATGGCGGAAAATTCCCTGATGTTGGGTAGACTTATTGAAGCAGAGACGATTTTAATCCATAATCGGAAATATCGTGAAGCTGTGGCATTGTGTCTGCGTATGCACAACTGGCGTAAGGCGTTGGAGGTGGCCCAAAAACATGAACCGGATTTAATGGAAGTGGTACTGGAACAGAGAAGGAAATATTTGAGCGCTTTGAATCGTGAAGAATGGGATACTTTATTTATTAGTTTGAGTGTTAAGGATAATGATGAATAAATTTGAAAATTTAATAGGCAGGACAGATCATAGGTTTTCCTTCCAGGGCGTTGATGAGGTTATTGGCAGCCACCATGGCCATTTCGGTGGTAGTCTTAATCGTTTGGGTACCCAAATGGGGAATGATGACTGAAAAGAGAAGAAAGAACGAAAAAATTAATACTCATAGAAAAAAATGTGATCTCCAAGGGTCTGCGGGCATAGTATGGATCTCTGAAAAAATATTCTTTAAAAAATCCACGCCTTGTATGGATCTCTGAAAAAATATTCTTTAAAAAATCCACGCCTTGTATGGATCTCTGAAAAAATATTCTTTAAAAAATCCACGCCTTGTATGGATCTCTGAAAAAATATTCTTTAAAAAATCCACGCCTTGTATGGATCTCTGAAAAAATATTCTTTAAAAAATCCACGCCTAGGATCTCTTCGAAAATGGATATTCTTTAAAAAATCCACGCCTTGGATCTCTTCGAAAATGGATATTCTTTAAAAAATCCACGCCTTGGATCTCTTCGAAAATGGATATTCTTTAAAAAATCCACGCCTTGTATGGATCTCTGAAAAAATATTCTTTAAAAAATCCACGCCTAGGATCTCTTCGAAAATGGATATTCTTTAAAAAATCCACGCCTTGGATCTCTTCGAAAATGGATATTCTTTAAAAAATCCACGCCTAGGATCTCTTCGAAAATGGATATTCTTTAAAAAATCCACGCCTTGGATCTCTTCGAAAATGGATATTCTTTAAAAAATCCACGCCTTGTATGGATCTCTGAAAAAATATTCTTTAAAAAATCCACGCCTTGTATGGATCTCTGGAAAAATATTCTTTAAAAAATCCACGCCTTGTATGGATCTCTGAAAAAATATTCTTTAAAAAATCCACGCCTTGTATGGATCTCTGAAAAAATATTCTTTAAAAAATCCACGCCTTGTATGGATCTCTGAAAAAATATTCTTTAAAAAATCCACGCCTTGTATGGATCTCTGAAAAAATATTCTTTAAAAAATCCACGCCTTGTATGGATCTCTGAAAAAATATTCTTTAAAAAATCCACGCCTTGTATGGATCTCTGAAAAAATATTCTTTAAAAAATCCACGCCTTGTATGGATTTCTGAAAAAATATTCTTTAAAAAATCCACGCCTTGTATGGATCTCTGAAAAAATATTCTTTAAAAAATCCACGCCTTGTATGGATCTCTGAAAAAATATTCTTTAAAAAATCCACGCCTTGTATGGATCTCTGAAAAAATATTCTTTAAAAAATCCACGCCTTGTATGGATCTCTGAAAAAATATTCTTTAAAAAATCCACGCCTATATAGATCCTTGAAAAAATGTTAGATCCTTTACTTACCACAATTTGGTATTTTCAATAACGGATGATCGGCCGGCAATGGTTCTGGAGTCATTACATCTAAACCAGCGGAAAATATTTGACCCGTTGTCAAGGCCTTAATCAAGGCGTCTTGGTCCACAATTCCTAAAAAATTAAACAAAATAATTATTTAAAAGAAAATTAAAAATTATTTCAGCCGTTCCTTACCTCCCCGCCCCACATTTACGAACACACAATTCTTTTTCATTTTTCCAAATGCCTCTGCATTAAATTTCCCCTTAGTCTCCGCGGTCAATGGGCAAGCCACCACCAGGAAATCACTTTCTTTGAGCAGTTCATCAAAGGTCACATGCTGAGCCTTGAAGTCCCCATCATTTTCCCGCCTCGTCCTGGTGTGATAGATGAACTTCTTAACATCCCAACATTGTAGCCGTTTGGCAATGGCCTGACCAATACCTCCGAAACCCAGAAAGCCAATGACGGAATCTCGAATCTCTTGACCCATTAGCCAATTGATGCGTTCCGTTTTCCATTGGGAACTGGAAAAATTCAAAAAATTATTTTAAGGATTATTATAAAAAATTATATTTTAATGAAATTTTACAGACCACCCTAATAAATTATTAAAAAGCTCTATTAAACAATTCAAAAGCTTTTTTAACAGAATCGAAGCTAGTTAACAGAATACGTACATATGTTTATGAAAACGTTATAAAAGCTTCCAATATAACATCAAAGCTTGTTCATACAAATTTTGCAAAAAAAAAAGCTCTCCGAACAGCTGTTTGCAGGCAATCAAATTGATAAACAATAAATTATTTATCTTACTTACTTTTCGATTTCTTGCCGACCGGCATGAAAGAAACGTCCCGCAGCTATCATTAGTCCGATGGCCAAATCGGCAACACCATTTTTCACCACCCCCGGTGTATGACCTAATGGCATTTGACGTCGCTTAAATTCCGGTACATCCACATAATCGATACCCGATGACATTGTTGTGACCGCCTTTAATTGCTGGCCAGCAGCATCGAGTATTTCTCCATTCAGAGGTTGATAGCAGGCCCAAAAGATGGCATCAACACCGGGTAATTTTTGCAAAATATCTGACCTGACTGGCGGAACATTTTCACAAACAATTGGCTCGAAACCCTTTTGGCGGAGCAGTTCCAAAGCGGGTAGCGGGACTTCAGGATGGGTGACCAAAACTTTGTATAGACGTCGTGCGGCAGATGACATCGCGTGAGGTGTCGTCTGTTGTGTGTGTGTGCGTTCCGATGGGCAAAAATTAAGCGACTGCTGAGCTAAATGTTTTGCAGCAGAACTTGTAATGGAAAGCTGTTCGGACAACAATAACAACAATTTTGTTAAGAGAGGGTAGAATAGAAAGAGTCAAACCGAATGGGAGGTTCTCTTGTAGATTTGATAAGAATTTTTTAAAGAGCTTTGGATGGGGTAGAAGAGTCCGGTAACGATCACGTACGGTATGGTATCTATATTTGGAATTTATTGATAGAAGACCATGAGTAGGTCTTCAATACAAAGAAGGCCTTCAGAAGATTATCTATAGATGGAAAACCTTTGGAAGGTCTTTTGTAGGTAGACCTTCAGGAGGACTGCTATTGAAATAAAACATCCTGGAGATCTTCTATAGCCAGAAGAGCCTCTGCAGCCAGAAGAGCATCTATAGCCAGAAGAGCCTCAGTAGACAGAAGACCTTCAGGAGGTTTTCAATGGATTGACAACCTTCAGTAGGTGTTCTATAGACATAAGGCCTTTAATAGGTCTTCTAAGTCCATCCAAAACGTGGATTTTTTAAAGAATATTTTCGAAGAGATCCATACAAGGCGTGGATTTTTTAAAGAATATTTTCGAAGAGATCCATACAAGGCGTGGATTTTTTAAAGAATATTTTCGAAGAGATCCATACAAGGCGTGGATTTTTTAAGGAAGACTTTTTTCAGAGATCCATACAAGACGTGGATTTTTTAAGGAAGACTTTTTCAGCGATCCATACAAGGCGTGGATTTTTTAAACAATATTTTCGAAGAGATCCATACAAGGCGTGGATTTTTTAAACAATATTTTCGAAGAGATCCATACAAGGCGTGGATTTTTTAAACAATATTTTCAAAGAGATCCATACAAGGCGTGGATTTCTTAAAGAATATTTTCGAAGAGATCCATACAAGGCGTGGATTTCTTAAAGAATATTTTCGAAGAGATCCATACAAGGCGTGGATTTCTTAAAGAATATTTTCGAAGAGATCCATACAAGGCGTGGATTTCTTAAAGAATATTTTCGAAGAGATCCATACAAGGCGTGGATTTCTTAAAGAATATTTTCGAAGAGATCCATACAAGGCGTGGATTTTTTAAAGAATATTTTCGAAGAGATCCATACAAGGCGTGGATTTTTTAAAGAATATTTTCGAAGAGATCCATACAAGGCGTGGATTTTTTAAAGAATATTTTCGAAGAGATCCATACAAGGCGTGGATTTTTTAAAGAATATTTTCGAAGAGATCCATACAAGGCGTGGATTTTTTAAAGAATATTTTCGAAGAGATCCATACAAGGCGTGGATTTTTTAAAGAATATTTTCGAAGAGATCCATACAAGGCGTGGATTTTTTAAAGAATATTTTCGAAGAGATCCATACAAGGCGTGGATTTTTAAAGAATATTTTCGAAGAGATCCATACAAAGCGTGGATTTTTTAAAGAATATTTTCGAAGAGATCCATACAAGGCGTGGATTTTTTAAAGAATATTTTCGAAGAGATCCATACAAGGCGTGGATTTTTTAAAGAATATTTTCGAAGAGATCCATACAAGGCGTGGATTTTTTAAAGAATATTTTCGAAGAGATCCATACAAGGCGTGGATTTTTTAAAGAATATTTTCGAAGAGATCCATACAAGGCGTGGATTTTTTAAAGAATTTTTTTGAAGAGATCCATACAAGGCGTGGATTTTTTAAAGAATTTTTTGAAGAGATCCATACAAGGCGTGGATTTTTTAAAGAATTTTTTGAAGAGATCCATACAAGGCGTGGATTTTTTAAAGAATTTTTTGAAGAGATCCATACAAGGCGTGGATTTTTTAAAGAATTTTTTGAAGAGATCCATACAATTTCGTCCTTGAAAAAAATATTATTTACTTAGGCTCAAAGCAAAATACCTGCACATTTTTTTGTCTAAATCTCATCGCTTAATAAAAAAATCTCCTCAGGGTATTTAGCACAAACATCTTGTTAATTTTAATTTGAAGAATGTGGTTTGGCTTTTCAACGCGCCGATCAACTGGACAATACAAATCAATTATAAAAAGGCTGCTGAAACTTGTTTGGACGAAGAGTTTTTTGTTTTATTTTAGAAAAAAAAAAATAAATTGGTTTTTTACATAAACTTCATGGTATATCTGATTCCTCCAAACCAGTTCTCTACATCATTCCGATCGGCATCCATGTTACCTTGTCCAGGTGTTGATTTCAGTTTTTTTCTGCGTTTTTATTTTCCATTTGGTATTTAATATGCCGGCGACAACATTGGCTCTCCAGCCAAACCTCTCAAGACATTGTGAGCAGCAATTATGGCCATGTCGGTACGCGTGCGCTTTGTGGCCGAACCGATGTGCGGTGTAATGACTGCAATGGAAAGTGAAATAAATTATTCATAAATAAAACCCGCAGTACATTTAGAACACCAAGTGAATAAATTAAAAAATGTGTTTAAAAACAGATTCAGAATTGTTGCAGTGGGTCTGTAGAAACAGAGTCAGCAACCAGACACCAGGAAGTGTTACAGTATATCAGGAAGATTACGGGTTTTTTAAATATATGGATAGATACGAGTTTTAATTGAAATTAAAATTTATGGTTTATTTAAAGGTTTTGTTGAAATTATAGCTGGAAGTGGATTTTTGAAATTAATTTTAGGGGCCACAAACAGTTTCACACAGGCGTGGATTTTTTAAAATAAATTTTTAGGGGTCTTTCATTAATTGCAGATTTTTTAAAAAAAATTTTAGGGGTCCTTAATTAATTCCGGATTTTTTTATTTTTTAGATGTCCTCGGTGAATGGTATCGACGTCGAAAAGCTGCAAACACAACAGTTAGCCGAGGCCTACTCCGCTCAATTTACCCGCCTGCTTGACGAAAGCACTTATTGTTCCGATAATAGTATAGCAGCACAATGGCAAAGAATTACCCACTCCCTACAAACTGCAGCAAAAGCAATACTTGGGTACCAAAAACCACCACCAAGAACTCCATGGCACGATCAGGAGTGTCGTAATGCTACTGATGTGAAAAACGCAGCGTATAGGGCAATCCTGCAGACAGTGGCAACACGTAATGTGATGGCAAATTATCGGGAGAAAAGGAGAAATGAGAAACGTGATTACAAAAAAAGAACAAGAAAAACGTGAGCTTGAGCAAATCGAAATGTACAGGAGTCAGAATGAAATCCGGAAATTTTACCAACGAGTAAAGCACCAAACCGAAGGCTTTGGTGAAGGCACATCCTCCTGTAGAGATGAAGAAGGAAACCTGGTGTCCGATACAGACAAAGCAGCTGGGGTCCAGCACAAGCTGGAGAGAGAGGACCCCGTTTTAAGAACTCCCGCTCCAAAAGAAGCGGGGATCGAGTTGAGGATCTGGAAGGAGCATTTTGGAAAGCCTCTTGTATCAAATAGTGGCGGTGAAGAAGATACCCCAAAACCAATAAGAGATAATGGTATCTGATGTATACCACCTAGCCAAGATGAGGTCATAAAAGCAATTAATCGCCTCAAGATCAATAAAGCAGCAGGAGCCGATGAGTTACCAGCCGAACTATTTAAGACTGGTGGTCAGATGCAATTAGTACAATTTTGCTAGATGAATGCATGCCCAATGATTGGAACCTCAGCATCCTGTGTCCCGTTCACAAAAAAGGAGACAAGACGATATGTGCCAACTAGGAATTAGCCTTCTTCCCATCGCATATAAAGTGATATCCAGTGTGCTGTGTGAACGACTGAAGCCAATGGCCAATGACAATATTGGACCATATAAATGCGGCTTCAGACATGACAAATCAACCAAAGAACAGATTTTCACTCTGCGCCATATCCTGGAAAATACCCACGAAAAACACATCGACACATACCACAAACCACTTATTCGTCGACTATAAAGCCGCATTCGACACCCCTATCCGTTCAGAGGTGTTTAAAGCCATGTCTGCGTTCGGCATTCCTGCAAAATTAATACGGCTATGCAGGATAACTTGAAGTGGCATAAGGTCAGCAGTTACAGTCTATGCAGGATAACTTGAAGTGGCATAAGGTCAGCAGTTACAGTCGGAAAGAACCTATCGGAGCCCTTCAATACCGAACGAGAATTCTGACAAGGTGAAAGTCTGTAGTGTGATCTTTTTAACATCCTCCTGGATAAGGTCAAACGAGACGCAAAGGTTAACAGAAATGGCACTCTGTACACCAAACCACACATGTTACTCGCCTACGCCGATGACATCGACGTAATGGGTCGGACATTGCGAGCGGTAGCCACAGCCACCTTTGAACAAATTGAGAAGGAGTCTGCCAAAGTGGGTCTGGCAGTAAACGGCGAGAAGACCAAGCTAATGGTATCAACGCACAAGATGTCCAGTAGACTCGAACCAACTGTGGAACTTGAGAACTACAGCTTCGAGGTAGTTAAAGATTTTATATACATTGGTACCGCCATAAATAAAACGAATGACATCAGTTTTGAAATTCGGAGAAGGATTGTGATGGCCAACAGATGCTACTATGGTCTAAGTAAGCAGTTTAGAAACAAGGACACCTCTAGCTAGACCAAACTCACATTTTACAAGACGCTGATACTGCCCGTGCTGTTATATGGATCTGGAGCATGGGTACTTGAGATGAGCAGATGGGCCAGCTCATAGGGTGTTTTAAAGAAAAATTCTCCGAAAGATCTACGGGCCGATCTGCCTCGAAGGTAATATCGGCGTCGAATGAACCACGAGCTTTACAATTTATACGCGGACATGGACATAGTCAGTCGTATTGAGCTGCAGCGACTACGGTGGCTAGGCCATGTTGTGCGAATGAATGAGAATGCCCCAGCTCAAAAGGCATATAAAAGCTAGCCTGGTTCCTGTAGAAGGGGAAGGCCACGAATGAGATAGAAAGATCAAGTAGAAAACAACATCTTTGAACGTGGTCAAATTGGAGGAGATGCGCACAAGACCGACGCGCATGGAAATCTTTTTTAAGCTCGGCTTATGGAACAACTGTTCTGTAACACGGCAGCTAAGTAAGTAAGTAATGGTGTTTTTACTTTAAATATGTTTTCACTTACCCAAATTTGGCAATGTCAATAACTTATCATTGGCTGGCAAGGGTTCGGGATACATGACATCAATACCGGCCGAAAAGATTTGATTTGTCTTCAAGGCGGTGTACAAATCGTCCTGGTTGATGATGGCTGTAAAATGAGTTCCAGAAATTAAATTTGTATTTAAAAAGGAAGAAATCTCAATCCCAAACTTACGTCCTCGGGCAATATTAATCAAGACAGCATTCTTCTTCATTTTCGGGAAGGCTGTGGAATTGAAAATACCCTGCGTCTCAGGTGTTAGGGGTGCGGCAATGAACAAAATATCACTTTGGCCCAACAGCTCATGGAAGGGTACCTTCTCGGCATTGAATTGTTTTTCCAATTTCTTTTCCAAGGGGCGACGTGTGGTGTAGAGGATACGCTCAATATCGAAACCCTTCAAACGTTTGGCAATGGCCTGACCAATGCTGCCGAAACCAAAGAAGCCCACAGTCGAATCACGAATCTCTTGACCCCACATCCATTCAATGTGATAATTTTCCCATGTCGAACTGCGTCATTAGAAATGGGGGAATTTTTTTAGAACTATATTTTTTCCAAAATAAATTATTTCACAAAGATAATTACCTATCAATTTTAGTGCGACCTTCATGGAATCTGCGGGCAGCAGATAACATTAAACCCATGGCCAAATCAGCAACGGCATCACTCAACACAATCGGTGTATGGCCAAGGGGAATTTTACGTTTCTTCAATTCCTCAACATCAACATAATCAATACCGGCGGACATAGTGGAAATGGATTTCAATTGTGGCCCGGCGGCATCCAGAACTTCCTTGTCCAGGGGAACATGGGAACCCCAAAACATGCCATGTACCCCCTTGGCTTTTTCCAAAATTTCTGTGCGATTGGGTGGCAAACTTTCACACATAATTAATTTGCACGAAGTACTCATCAGGTCCAAGGCATCTTGCGGAACTTCAGGGTGGGTTACCAAAATTTTAAAGGTAACTTCATCACTTTCATTCGATTCCTCACTGCTGACAGCCTTGGCTGTTGTTGTGGTGGTTGGGGCCTCAGTCATTTTTCCTCTGCGCGAACCACGGGCGGCATCGTTCACCGAAATTAGAGAACCCAAAATTAAGAGGGAAATACAAAAATTTAATTTTAACATTTTTTTTATTTAAACAATTCTTTAATTATTTATTTTTTTATTTCTTTGTCTGTACACTTCTTAAAGCCTTGCTTGTTCTGAAACAACTGATTTCACTTAAAGTTTGTTGGGTTCTTTTTATGAATATCTGGCTGTGGGGTCGAGTTAGCCAAGCCATCCGTAAATGGAGAACTTGTTTCGAACTGGTGGAAGCAGCACGCTCAAAAGATAAACTTTTGAACTTAAGTTTCGTTTGTTTTGATTTTTTTTTTTTGAAACGCAAACATACTTCGGTTCGGAGCATATCGAACATTCGAAGCTTGGGGAATAGTGGCGATCATGATTAAGTCTCTCTTAAATTTCCATAATTTATTCAAAATAGTTGTTATTGAAAATTAACAAGGGCATTCCGCTTGCTCTTACTCCCATCGAAATTGTGCTCTCTTTCAATTTTTCATTACTCACCCAATTTGTTTTAATGCTCGTTAAACGTTCTATACCCTTTCACTGGCAATTGTTTACTGAATTCACAAGCAGCTACTTGAATTCGATTTTGAGTAGTGCGGACCTGATGACTATAATTGTTGTTGTTTTTATTTATTTGCAATCATTGTTGGATTTCTATCTTTCCCATAACAGAAAAAAGTGGGGTTCTCTTAGATTAGATATTGCTGCACTTGTACAAAGCTGAAACACAGTGGTCGGCAAATATATTATGGAACTAAGTTAAAAAAATTTTTTAGAAGATTTTTTTTAAATTAAATTTTAGATGTTAAATTGTAAACAAAGGGTGTGGCTTTTTATACCCTACACAACTATGTTGTCAGGGTATTATAGCTTTGTGCAGCCCCAAAAGTTTGTAACGCTGCGAAATATTATTTACACGAAAATTGGCACACCTTTAAGAATATGTGTGTAAAATGTCATAAAAATCTCGACTAGCTGAGTCGATCTAGTCCGTCCGTCTGTCCATTATAATTTGTAGACCAATCTTCACGAAATTTTGCATATAGGATGGGTTCTGGCCAATGAAGACCCCTATTGTTTTTGGTAAAGATCGACTAATATTTAGGGGATGAAATGGACCAAATACATAATTTTTGTCGGTCGCTCCAGAGGCCGCAATTATGGCCCAAGCATCTCGAATTTTTTACATGTAGAAGGAGATCGGACCAAAGAATAAGCATACTTGTTTTGATAAAGATCGGTCAATATTTAGAGGGTCAAATGGCTCTGACTTTTGTGTGAAAAAATTACAAAATTTGTATTCTATGGCGAATATATATACTCTGAAGGATATAGACCCGAGAAGTTGATAGTATATCCAAGAGGAGTGGTTGACCTTTAAATTGATACAAATCATATTATCTTAGGTACTCGGATGCGGGAGTTACAGTTAAATATTTTCAGGTGCTTACGTATTCATATATCATTTAGTAATCTATTGCCACACTGGAGGGCGGAAATATAGCGCTGATCGCTTTGAAATGTTCCATGAGGTTCCAGTTATTGTCAAGGACAACGCCTAAAATGTTTGATAATGATCAGATAATAATTTTTCGGATGAAGTGGACCGAAAACTTAATTATTTGTACTTTTCGAGTCGAAAGCCGAGCATCACAACACAACCCACGGTAAAGGGAATCTGGACAAGTAATTAGAGTGGCTACACGGATTATTAGTAACATTTGCTGACCTCTAGACAGCCAAAAGTGTGCAAATATCGCGAAATATTGCCCAATCTCAGAATATAGAACCACAGAAAGTTAGGTTTCCATGGAAGTTGTGTAGGGTATCATATCGCCACGGTCGCCCCGTCCGACTATACTGCTTCCCTCACTGGTTTATAATTTTTAGGTGTCGCGTGGATTTTTTAAAATTAATTTTTCAGGGGATCTTCAATATGCGTGGATTTTTTTAAATTAAGTTTTAGGTGTCGCCCAACAGGCCTGGATTTTTTAAAATAATTTTTAGAAGAACATCAACAGGCATAGATTTATTTTTAAATAATTTTTAGGGAACCTTCAAGAGGCGTGGATTTATTTTTAAATAATTTTTGGGGGTCCCCCAGCAGGCCTTCAATAGGCGTGGATTTATTTTTAAATAATTTTTGGGGGTCCCCCCGCTGGCCTTCAATAGGCGTGGATTTATTTTTAAATAATTTTTATGAGTCGCCCAACAGGCCTGGATTTTTTAAAATAAATTTTAGAGGAACTTCAACAGGCGTAGATTTATTTTTAAATTATTTTTAGGGGACCTTCAACAGGCGTGGATTTTTTAGAAGACCTTGAATCCGTCAATATCACCTGTCATAATATATACGCGTAGCACTGTATTTAACATTCAACCCTTCATTGTTATCTTTCAATATTATTTTTTATTTTATTTGTTTTTATTTATTTAGTTTGCAAGTGTTATAATTATTGTTGTTATTGCTTTATTTAAAATAAATTACTAACAAATATGATTAATTATTGTATTTTTTTGCTGTCCTAGCAAATTGCTAGCTTAATTTTTTTCCAATCCAGCTAAAAATTTTGTTGCAGGTTAATCATTATTGATTCAATTTTCACAATTTTGAAGAGTTCTATATCCCGGCTAAAATCGGATCTAACGATAATCGTATCTATTCATTCCAGTAAACAATTTTAGAAACAATTTGTTGTTAATTAGTTTTTGTTAGGGTTACACAGTTGTACATTCCGGTGAAACGAGTGCTTTCTGAATGACCTTCATAAAATATTGTACTTACTTAGCTGGCTTGTTACATAACGGTTTTTCCATAAGCAGAGCTTAAAAAGGATTTCCAAGCGCGTCGGTCTTGTGCTCATCTCCTCCAATTTGAAAGACCATGTTCCGATATGTTGTTTTCTAATTGGTCTTTCCATCTAATTCGTGGCCTTCCCCTTCTGCGTGAACCATCAGCTGGTTCGCTTTTATATGCCTTTTGGGCTGGGGCATTCCCATTCATTCGCTCAACATGACCTAGCCACCGTAGTCGCTGCAGCTCAATACGCCTAACAATGTCGATGTCCGAGAATAGGTACAGCTCATGGTTCATTCGACGCCTATATTCACCGTCGAAGCAGATCGGCCCGTAGATCTTTCGGAGAATTTTTCTTTCAAACACCCCAAGACCTGCCTCATCTGCTTGCACAAGTACCCATGCTTCAGATCCATTTAACAGCACGGGTAGTATCAGCGTCTTGTAAAGTGTGAGTTTAGTTTGTTCTGGCCGGAGGTGGCCTTGTTTCTAAACTGCATACTTAGACCATAGTAGCATCTGTTGGCCATCACAATCCTTCTCCAAATTTCAAAACTGATGTCATTCGTTTTATTTATGGCGGTACCAAGGTATATAAAATCTTTAACTACCTCGAAGCTGTAGTTCTCAATTTCCACAGTTGGCCGAGTCTACTGGACGTCTTGCGCGTTGATACCATCAGCTTGGTCTTCTCGGCATTTACTGCCAGACCCACTTTGGTAGACTCCTTTTCAATTTGTTCAATGGTGGCTGTTACCGCTCGCAATGTTCGACCCATTATATCGATGTCATTGGCGCATGCAAGTGACATATGCTGCTTGGTGTACAGAGTGCCATTTCTGTTCACCTTTGCGTCTCGTATGACCTTTTCCAGCCGGATGTTAAAAAGATCACACGACAAACTGTCACCTTGTCCGAATCCTCGTTCGGTATTGAATCGCTCCGATAGGCCCTTTCCGACTGTAACTGCTGACCTTGTGCCACTTAAAGTTATCCTGCATAGCCGTATTAATTTTGCAGGAATGCCGAACGTAGACATGACTTTAAACACCTCTGAACGGATAGAGCTGTCGAATGCTTTTTAGTCGACGTTTAGTTGGTATGTGTCGATGTGTTTTTCGTGGGTCTTTTCCAGGATTTGGCGCAGAGTGAAAATCTTGTCAATGGTGGATTTGCCAAGTCTGAAGCCGCATTGGTGTGGTCCAATAATGTCATTGAGCATTGGCTTCAATCGTTCACACAGCACACTGGATAGCACTTCATATGTGATGGGAAGGAGACTTATTCCTCTATAGTTGGCACATATCGTCTTGTCTCCTTTTTGTGCACGGGACACAGGATGCTGAGGTTCCAATCATTGGACGTGCATTCCTCTAGCCAAATTGTACTAATCAGCTGGTGCATGCTCGTGACCAACATCTTGAATAGTTCGGCTGGTAACCCATCGGCACCTGCAGATTTATTGTTCTTCAGGTGGTATACACTCTATACCGTCATAGCTTATTTATTCTGGGGTATCTTTTCGCCGTCACAATTTGATACCAGAAGCTTTTCAAAATGCTCCATCCAGATCCTCAACACGCTGTCTGTATCTGTCACCAGGTTTCCTTCTTCATCTCTACAGGAGGATGTGTGTGCACCAAAACCTTCGGTTTGGTGTTTTACTCGTTGGTAAAATTTCCGGACTTCATTTTGACTTCTGTACATCTCGATTTGCTCAGTCTCACGTTTTTCTTCTTCTTTTTTCTGAAACCACGTTTCTCCTCTCTCCTTTTCTCCCGATAATTCTCCATCACATTACGTTTTGCTATTGTCTGCAGGGTTGCTCTATACGCTGCGTTTTTCAGATCAGTAGCATTACGACACTCCTGATCGTACCATGGATTTCTTGATGGTGGTTTTTTGGTACCCAAGTGCTGCTTTTGCTGAAGTTTGTAGGGAGTGGGCAATTCTTTGCTATTGTGCTTCTATACTATTATCGGCCTCGGCTGCCTGTCGTGTTTGCAGCTCTTCGACGTCGAGTTTCCGTGTTGTGTTAGATCGAAACTTTGCTGCAACATTAAGACGATTGCGAACTTGGCTGCTCAAAAGGTAGTGGTCCGAATCGATATTCGCTCCTCGGATCGATAGAACGTCTAATACACTGGATGAATGCCTTCCGTCTATC